GTCCCCAATGCTGTTCAGGGTGTCCCCGATGCTGCTGGGCAATCCCTAGTGCTGCCCGGGGGTCCCAAATACTGCTCAGGGGTCCCCAGTGCTGTTGGGGTGTCCCCATCACTGCCCAGATGCCTTCAGTGCTGCTGGGTGTCTTCAGTGCTGCCTGGGGGTCCCCAGTGCTGTCTGGGAGTCCTCATTGCTGCTCAGGGGTCCCCAGTGCTGTCCTGGGGTCCCCAATGCTGCTTGGGGTGTTCCCATTGCTGCTCAGGGGTCCCCAGTGCTGTCCTGGGGTCCCCAATGCTGCTCGGGGTGTTCCCAGTGCTTCTCAAGGGTCCCCATTGTTGCTCAGTTCTCCCCAGTGCTGCCAGTTGCCCCCAACGCTGCCCAGGTGTCCCCAGTCCTGCTGGGTGTCCCCGTTTTTGCCCCTCACTGACCCCGTCTCCCCGCAGGCAGAGATGCCCGTGGAGCCCCTGATCTGCGCCGACACGGCCACGCGGTGAGTCCCAAACCCCGAGGGGACAGCGGGGTGCTGCGGCCACCACCCCCAGGCAGGTCCCTCCTGGGTGCCACGTGCTGTCCCCTGGCCCTGCGGGGGACTCCAGTCCCCTCGCTGACACTGTCCCCATCGTGTCCCCGGGGATGGTGGCCTGTGTCCCCGCAGGGTGAGCTCCGTGCTTAACCGGGATGCGAAGCAGTTTGGGAAGAAGCACATGTTCGACGCGAGCGAGGAGACGTGCTGGAACTCAGACCAGGTTGGGGGGCGAGGATGGGGGAAGCCGGAGGGACGGGACAGGAGCCGTGCACGGGGGAAGGGAGCTGCGCACACGGTGAACACCCCGCTCTCCCCCCACCCCCGTGACGGAGCCCCGGTGTCGTTCCTGCCTTCAGGGCACGTGCCAGTGGGTCACCCTGGATTTCCCCCGCACCGTCAGGGTCTCACAGCTCCACATCCAGTTCCAGGGGGGATTCTCCAGCCGGCTGTGCACGCTGGAAGGTGAGGAGCTGGTTTGGGGGGGGTATGGGGATCTCTCTGCCTCAGTTTACCCGCACCTGGATCCTGCAGCTGTTTGTTCCCAAAAACCCAAGAGGGGCTGAGGCCGTGGGCTGGAGCAGAGGGGTGAATAGCGAGGACCAGGGGTTCCCTGGGCTGCTTTGGGTGCAGATGGGAACTTGGTCCGTTACACAGACCACGGCGGGGAGGATTTTGGGGGGGCAGCCGTTGGAGGCTCCCCCAGCACCGGAGCCTCCGCACGGCTGCCTCCACCCTCCTCCCCAGGCTGCAGAGCAGGCGAAGAACTGGTGAAAATCTGCGACTTGTACCCCGAGGACATCCACGCCATGCAGATATCCTTTGCCGCACGGCGGGCTGGGTCAGAGGGCTTGGGGGGCGGGGGGCTCGGAGCCCCCCGTGGCTGCGGAGGGGCTGGAGGGGGCGA